GGGGGGGGTTTATCACCATCACTCCCACCATCATCATAATCACCATCACTCCCACCATCATCATAATCACCATCACTCCCACCATCATCATAATCACCATCACTCCCACCATCATCACAATCACCATCACTCCCACCATCATCATAATCACCATCACTCCCACCATCATCATAATCACCATCACTCCCACCATCATCATAATCAGCATCATGAAAAGGATATCCAAGTAATATAATCAGCCTGGGCTTCTTCTGTTGACTCCATTATAATCAAAGCAATGTTGTCAAAGATCTACAGAACAAAAAAAAATTCCTTCTTAACAAACTGAGATTGCAAATGACTATAGTGCCTTGTTGTAGTCATATACCTGAAAAATTATTTCGAAAACTAATTTAACCCCAACCATAATCCCAACTCTTAATCCTAATTCCAACCCTAATCCTTAGGATATAATTTCAGGATATCCAACTTACCGTGCCGTTCAAACTGACAATATTGTTAGGTTTATGATACACAGACAACGGCAAAGTCTCAATTTTGATGCAATCTTCCTTTTGCGTTGAAATCTTGACTTGTTTTGCCAAAGGAGCTTCAATAATCGGCAATATTTTACCACATTTTACAACCTCGATACTGCCTAGCATGTTTTCACCAAGGGTCCAATTAAAAATAAAGAGATCAATGGCAATACTCTTATCAATGTTCAATGGCTCAAGCAAACATTTGTCTGTGTGGCCTTCCTGTAATATTTGATAAAACATAAAGTTGAAGCTTGCAAAATGACTTTAGAAAAATTGCATGGACTGGACTATCTGGGCATACTGATTAATACTGTATTAATACATATTTTAAAACTGAAAATTCACTAATAATACCATATAGGTTGCCATCCCACTGCTTGTTGTTTTTTGAATACTAAAACCAAGCTACACAAAATACAAAAACAATTTCGTGAACAATGCACTCTTCAAGAAAGGACATCATTTTGGCTAAAGAGCCTTGTTTTCGTCATGGCTTTAACTAATGTCATATACACAAAAACGAGGGTCGATGGAAGGGTGCACAAGTAGAAACATTTCTGGTGGAGTGCAAGCGACACCACTCAGTGAGCTTCGGGAGGGGTTAGGCATTTGGGTAATTAAAGCTTTTCACACAAAATAGGAGGGGTGAAGCCAAATTTTGGTGGGGTTGAACACTATTAGAGGGGTAGAGAGATTCTAGGAGGGGGTTAACCCCCCCCCCCCCCTAGAAAATCTACCCATGAGTGTGTAATTCCATATTCAAGAAATTAATGAAATATTTGATAGAGTAAAACGAAAACAATGAATTAAATAACAACCTTTATTTGATTCTGGTTTATAAATGTTAGATTCTTCACATTTATGGATATACGTCCTTGTTTTAAAATTCCAAATGTTGAAATCTTTACGTGACCACGTTGATCATTCTAAGAAATAAATTTCAATCAACTATGTTTACACAAAATTGGACAAATATGGAACAGCCAAAAAATTCATTAATTTGCTTCTAGGGGTATTCATATATACATGAAAATTTAAGTGTGCCGAGTCTAATTATCATTTATTTATTAACTTTGGCCGTTAACACAAACATAAACAAGCAGGGCTGCAAATTACTGTCGGACATCGGACAATGTCCGACTAAATTTGGCAAATGTCCAAGCAAAAGTAATTTTGATCGGACATTGGTCCGGTCACAAGAAAAAATTGTCATATACATTTGCGAGGCAATCTAGCATTTTACTTAACATTGCGCCGGAAAGGCTATACATACTTGTCTTGTGACTTATATACCGGGTGTCCCAAAAAAAAGTACTCCGGTTTGATTTATAATAACTTCTAAACATGTAAAGCTATCAAACAGAAATAACTTGCATTAAATAGAGGAAGGACTAACTTAGATTTTGATATATTACAGTTGTATTTTACTTAAAAATTCATCGAGATATTAATGTTCAAAATCGGGAGCTGATTTTGGGATGTGTCTAAAATTAGCGAAAATCGGCATATCAAATATTAACTTCAGCGTTTGTTTGCTTGATGACATATCAGGCTAACTTGTATTTCAGCGAAATGTCGTTAGGATTGTAAGGGATATGGCGTAGATTTAGACTTCTTACATGTAAGTCTTAGCTCGTTGTTTCCTGAAACATGAACGTACGAAATTATGCAAGTATTTAATAGGTCTTTACAAACTTTACAAATTTATACGGTACATGAAAGACCATGCAAGGCAGGCGCTTAAATTTTTCTTAGCCTAATTTTTTTATGTTTTTCATGGGTTCAAAACAGAGTTGATTATTTCTCGGTTAGAGCAGGATGAATATTATTCTGCAATGAAGGAAATAATATTGCTTTTTGCAAATACACATCACAGTATCAACGCTACTATTTTGTTATGTTTTGTTCCAAAAATGTTGGATGTCTCCAGGGAGTTGCATGCTTAATTGTTGTCTGATGGAGTTGTATGGCCTTGATTGTGTTTCATTCTCAGTTTATTCTGAACTTAAAAAGATTAAGAAAAGGCAAATGAGTTTGAGTGTTCTTAACAAGATTTCAGAACGTTGCAGAAGTTAGAAGAGCTTGACAATTCCATTGTGATAGCATGCTAGGATTTCAGAACTACGAACGATCCATGACGATCCTTCGCGATGCAGTGGTCTCATGAAATAAGGAAACGTATTCGTGCTAGGAACCCACACAGATTTCGGACGAATAAATCTTACTTGTATTTTGTAGATAATAATACTTTGTTTCATAATAAACAATTTGTCAAGTGTTATTTATTTACTGGTAATCGTGCATGTTTCAGTCGGGCAAATCATAATTAATATTTGATATGCTGTTTTTTGCATATTTCAGACACATCCGGAAATATGCTCCCGATTTTAAACATTAACATCTCCGTGAATTTTTAAGTGAAATACAACTGTAATATATCAAAATCTGAGTTAGTCCTTCCTCTATTTGATGCAAGTTATTTCTCTTTAAAAGGTTTACTTGTTAAGAAGTTATTACGAATCAAACCGGAGTACTTTTTTTTGGGACACCCGGTATGTCTTGTGGCGTATACTATATATGTCCAACCAAATTTAGTAGTGTTGATTTTTGTCCAACCAAATTCAAGTTATGTCCAACCAAAATTAGAAGTGATCGGACCAATGTCCTGTCAAGTCAAATATTTATTTGCAGCCCTGCACAAGGAAAATGCAAACAGGAAAATGCAAACAGGAAAATGGCTCAGGTACACTAACACAGCCATTACATTACTGACCTCTTACAGAACAAATACAACACAACAAAACACAAGTGCTAAAGTCAGTATTCCAGACTGTAACGTTTGTTTTGTGCACAGGGAGTACTGTATGACTCCAAGAACTGTGAAATCCAAACAGCAGTCACAAGTGTGCAGAGAATTTATTCCCCCAAACTTTACAGCCTGGTCTATGGTCATCATCTGCTAAATATATTACAGGGGTAGGCTGGGTAGCAAAACTAAATAACTAATGAGCTATACAACAATGTTAAACTACAATGTTAGACTACCATATTGGATGTGTTGAAAATTTCAACAGCCCTTAACCACAACTTTAATGTAGCTATTACGAAACATAGAAGTAGCATTTTACTAATACATTATGTAAACAACCATTTGTCCATTTTGAATCAGTAACTTTCAAACATAAATACACGCAGTTTTTACCAACAAAATCTCATACAAACCCACTTTAAGAACAATCTACATACAAACCTCTAATTCTATATTATGTATGCGAGAATATGAGCTTTCAAAGATGAGAAAAAATAGGAAAAACACACGGCAAAAATAATAATAAAAATCTGCCATATTGGATCTGTTTCTGACTTAGCTTACGTCATCACCTGTGTTTCCACAAGGAAGTTCAAACATCCTTGCAAAATTTATTATAATTTATGCATATGATTATTGTATAATTTATGTTCATTTTAATTATTGCAAATAAATTATCATAATTTTTAGCAACATTTTATAATTCATGCAACACCTGCCATATTTGTCTATTGTTTACATGATTTTGGCAACTTTTTATACTTTTACTGAATTTTACAAGAATTTTGGGTGGAATTTTGGTGTTTTTTTGAAGGATTTATACACAATGCTGCCTCATCCTTTTCGAGACGAATCCACATTTAAAATATACGCTTTTACATTTGTATTGGCCACAATAATTTGTGTTATAATATTGTCAAGATACATCAAACTAAACCCTGGCAGACATATATAGGCATTATGGAATTGATGGAAAAGATGATAGTTCACTGTGTTGGATTGAAATATATTGGTTTGAATTGTTGCAAGAAATATAGCATTCACAAGGCGTGGAACTCTTGGTCAAGAATATAAATTTGTATGATGGACAATGAACGTGACTTACTGTACAGGATATTTATTTAAAATTTGAAGTATTATAATTTATTTTGGACTATAGAAATGACTCGATACCAAAGAACAGGATGTAATCTTTTATTCCTACAATAAAAAGTTGTCAGAATAAATGCATGTCTCCATTTTTACCATAGTACAACACTGTCAACACAGCTAGATTTTCTTCAAATTCCCCAGTTTCCTCCTGTAGTAAGCCTAGTAACACTAGACCAATATGTGATGGTCCATGTTTAGAGGCCTTTGGAATCAGTACACCTACTGTACCATATAAATACCACCTCAAATGACCACTAGTCCACTACTGGACAGTGCACTTTGCAGCTTAGAGCTGTCAACATGAATTGGCACTTTATACTGTACTTGACCTATTGTAGGATCTCTCATAACAGATCACTTTAATTCAGTGCAAATGCTATTGAATTTGCATAGGATAAAAGACGGTAGAAAAACATTAAGTTACGTAATTGGCACTTCTAATAATAACTTACAGCTGAAACCTAATACCCAAAATAAAAAACAAAATATTATTTTTTCTGTAATGGATATGCCTTTGCAGGTTTTAGGTGTTGTGATTTTACGAATATTGAATTTGACATTTTCAACTGCGTTTAACCAAAAGCACTCTAAAATGCATTGTGACTCTTGCTATCTGGTTGCTATTTTTTTCAAAACGTATTTTGTAATCAAACGCTCATAAAATATTAATTTAAAGACTGATGAGGCCATTTTTGATTGGCAGAATAATAAGTAAACACAGTATGACATGACGAAGTGAAGACATGCCGCTTCTTACTGCACTGAGAACGATATCAAAGAACAGTCGTCTGTTGCGATACGGCGATTCTTTCAGTTCTTCGCAAAGGTATCTGATAAGGGCAAGAAGGAGAAGTGATTTTAAAAAAACTAAAAGGCCATTCCATCAAAGTTTTGGGGCTTCAGAGAAGATTTGTGACCGCAACTTGAAAGTAAACATCGATAAAAACCACATTTATGGAAGAGTCGCAATTGTACATGTAAACAAAACGAGAAATATGGCTAGTGAACAAGGGGGAACGCGAATAGATGCGTCCGAAAAGGAAAGCGATGATTTATCGTTGCCTTTTTGGATATTCTTATGGTCTTTCCTTGCTGTTATTGCTGGGTTTATATACTCAAAGTTAAACAAGCAAAGAGAGACAGATTTGGAACTGAAATCAGGTGATAATCATAGTAGAAACGATGAAGACATTGCAAGGAAATTGGTTAACGAGATTGCGAAAAAGGATTCGGGGAGGAAGCCTACATTTCGGCGTCAGAGAAGTTATGAAATTATCGATGGAGAGGTCCGTATTCACTACGATGTCTCGATGATTGACGATTCACTATATAAAAGCGCAAACATCGAAGGGTTTTTAAAAACGGCTGAAGTGGAAAGCATACCGATTCAAAGCGCAAGTTTAGATGATTTAGAATTTATATATCCAGGGAAATTACCACGAATAGTTGAAGAAGGGGATGAGGAGCTATTAGAAGATCAAAGCGAAGAGCAAGCGTCATTAGCCAGCGTTTATATAAACGAAGGAAGCCCAGACAGCAAAGGTAAGGAACAAATTAATACTGAAAAAGTAGACAACATTTTAAACTATAACAAAATACAAATTTTGAAGCAAATGGATTACATTTTGAAGGGAAACAGGGTGAATTTCCCACAAATTTTGAAACAATAATACAGGAAACTATAATCCCCACTGAGTCAATCAATGATGCGAATAAAATTACAAGCGTTTCGCAAAAAGACAATTGCGTTGAATTGAGTCATCAAGCCGAAACGGATTTGAAAGAAATAAAAAATGAAACTTTAAATGAAAGTTCAGACTATGATAAATCGAGCTCAACTTCTGGGGACAGTGTCATTGAAAATGTGGCTGCAAATACAAAGTCTATTAACACGAGTAGAAATTCCTCACATAACTCAAATATTACAAGTACTTCTGTTTACAAATTAAGCCAAGTTGAAAAGACCCAGGAGCATACATTTACTGTAACTAGACGAGAAATTACTAAATTGAAAAGCAATGAAGAAAAGAGTCCCAGATTTGACTCGTTTAAGGATGAAACAAGCTTTCCTTTAGTCAAGACAAATGCAGGAAGAGAAACAGCTGAAATTATTGATAACAGTTCACAGCTTAGCAGGGATTTGGAATGTGATAGCTTCATGTCAAAACAGGGCATTAAAATCAGACAATCTGGTTTACGTTCAGAAGATAATGTTGAATTATCGGATTCATTGCTTCTTGAAAAGGGGGCAAGAAATGAAAAACTGGATTGTGGAACAAATGTGGAAGTTAAACATTTTGGCCAACAAGAAGAAACCTTATCCAAAGAGGATCAAATATGCTTAAATGAAGTACACTGCAATGATTATGACATTAACAAGTTGGTTCAACAAAAATTAGACAGTAGCAATTTTCACAAAACATCCCCAAAACATGAACAAATTGTGAAGGAATTATCTTCGGGGGATGTTTACGAATGCCCAGACACCTCGTTAGATGCAAACGAGGCTGTTAACGAATGCCCGGAAAGCTCATTGCAGGAACCTCATGTTTTGACACGCCTTGATGAAGGCAGTGATATCCTGGTCGATAATTCTGGTGATATTTTGTTTAAAGTGATCGGCCCAAGCATTGATGAAGTGTACTTTGAAGACATTGTTGAAAGTGATGAACAACTTTGTGAGAAAATCAATGTCGGAACCCTAGATGAAAATGAAAATTATGACAAGTTTGGTTGTAAAGATGAGCTTGCAAAAAACTGGAAGTCTTTGCCGTCATGGGAAGGCATTCATGACATGAAACATTGTGAGTTAAACAGCGATAGTTCCGATGTTGATTACATCGATGTTGAGAAGAATGGGGTAGACGATACCAAGATAGAGGAAGAAAATTCACGAGTTTTCCATGTTGGATCGATGGAAGTCAAAAACAATGAACTGGAACAGAAAATCTCTGGCATTACCAGCGAACAATTTCCAATGCAAAATGCAGAAGAATTATTGTTTAACAAGGACATCAAAGAAGCTCATTTACTAACCTTTGAAAACACAATTGGATCGAGAAAAACTATATTTGTGAAAGATGCTGCAGAGCCTGTTTCTACTGATGAAAGTCAGGAAAGTTTTATTGTGGAGATTGGTTCTGATGTTTCCATGGGAGGTGTTGAGGACATTACCCTGTTTGGAAAAGTGCAAAATGAAAATACCAAACCAGACACATTGGGATGTGAAATCTCTGGTGAGGACCAATAAGAGGACTGTATATTGCACACAATTGTAGTGTAATGTACAGTATGGCTGGGTTTCACTAAACATTACAGGACAGTAGATGGTGGCCAACTGCAGGAATGATGACATTTATACGAGCAAGGATGCTACATCTCTCAATTCTATGTCCTGACTGCTGAATACAGTACCATTGTATATAATGAAAATAGATGTCATTATTTTCTCTGATAAATGCAGGTTGAGCACCATCTGCTGCACGACAGTGAAACCTACCTGTACTACACATTTATGCACTTAGAATAACTTAACAGACAAGCAATGGTGATTCTAAATTGATTGCACATCAAAATTATTATCAAGCACTCAGTGGCGAATCCAGCCCGACAATTTGGTCATGCTATGCATTATTTCTGTGTTCATGGACCGTAAAAACAATCATTTTCTAAAGAAATGAATAATGATAATGATGTAAGATTTGCATAGCATGACCAAATTTGCAGGCTGACCTCACCACTGCAAGCACTGCTTGGACTAAATACCACTTACAGTAAAACAGGGATGCATCCAGCTGGTAGGGAAGATGATCTTCGAGGTTTCGTCATGATCCAGGGTGTGCTGTTGACCAAGTTCGTAATCACTACAGGAGTCTTGCTTCACAATTTCACAATCATGTTACTATCCCATTTTATTTTCCTTTTGGCAATTGTCTTTCCAAATAAAAAGAAAGATTTGATAAGGAAATTGGCATCCACCTTGGACCTCCCCCCCCCCCTGGCAAGGCTAGAAGGGGTGTGCACCCCCTACACACCCCATCCTGTACCCACACACACCCTAGTATATCCATCTCTGCAGTTAAGAAGAAACTTCCTAAGGGCTAGCAATGTTGAATTATAAGCACTATGTAATTTTGTACTTAATTTAAATTAAGGGATCACTGCACTGTCAAAGTGGGGCATTAATGTATCTTTTTATTGCACTCTCAATCTCATTGTTACTAATATTTTCTGAAATGCAACCATCCAAATTGTATACCATCATGATCTCAAAGCAACTTACTAAACACTGTTATTTTAGAGTAAATGACAAGCTACTGCATACAACATGTTAATCAGTGATTTAACAATAAACTAAACTAGTCAAATCCTTTTTGAAATCTTTGCTGAAAATATGGTGATTAAGTAAATTGCTAACAGAAGAAGTAAAGTCAAACAATCAAAATAATTAATTTTTGAGTTAATTACTTTTTAATAGAAAATTAATGGGTGATTAAAAAGTGATTTAAACTTTAATGAACCACATGTGCAACAGATGGTTGTCAGCTGGCAGTTATCAAAGAGAGAAAAAATATGATTTGTAGCAAGTAAAAAAATTGAGAGATTTACATAATTTGTCTTGCTCTTATCAGTGAAGTTGAACACCATCTGCTGCCCTTGCTAAAACCTACCAATACTAAAGGTAACTTCAATGCGTTTATGTAGATGAGATCTTAGTTGCTGAAGCTGTTGAAACACAAGAAGTCGAAGCTGAATGTCCTACACCTGGTGATGACAGTGTATCAGATGATCCTGTGTTGTTTGCAAAAGCTAGTGTAGTTGAGGAAGACGTATTGGTGGCCAAAATCATTACAGTACAAGACCCTGAACCTCCTATAACGAACCTTGATCTGTCCAGTTCAGGTAAAACCACAGAACAAACTGTTTTGACGATTTCAGAAACAATCACCAGTAAAACAAACTGTGCAGCAAATTTAACAGAAGCAGAAATTAATTCCGTAACATTTAAAAATCTTCACTCACCTCCTGAACAAAACTGTACAACTTATACAAACACTAATGTCCAAAATATGGAAAACGGTCTAGTATATTCAGGCGTTGCAAATAGTGGTTTCAAAACCCAAACCAGTTCAGTAAACACTGTCCAGACAGTGACAGATATAACCCATACAAAGGTTCATTCGATAGTAAAGAAATTTGAACAAGCTAGAAGACCAAACACTTTGAAACAAACGGAGAATGGCAATGCGTATTTGAACAGTGATATTCATGAAACACCTGTGATTCCAAAGAACTATAAACAATCGTCTGATGATGTAGTTAAGGCAGAAAGTCAATCGGTAGAGAGTTCCACTTCCATTAATTATAATGAAGACGGTGCTTTGCCAAAGGACCCCGAATTCGTTGACAATGGTCAGATCTCTGAGCAGGCTATTGTTTCAACTATTACTGTTGAAAATGAAGAAGCTATACCATCTGATCTTAAAACTGATGTACACTGTATAGTTGATGATCCTGAGATATCTGAACAAGCTCCCGTTCCAGCTTTCATTGTTGAAACGGAACAACCTAACCTATCTGATGAACCTTACATAAATTCTGATAGTGTAAATTTTGTCGAAAATGTTCCTACTAACACGAATTCAATGGAATTTGCAAGCGATGGTAATGGTGAACTGAAACCAGCTTCAGATAAGAGTATCAGTTCAAACGAACTGCCAAATATGTTGGAGTTAGGATCAGATGCAGAGGTGAAGAATCCAGGAGATATAGCTGAGGACCCGGAAGAGATCGTGATTTATGCAAATCAAGTCACTGAAGTAAATGCGTCTGATGGTGAAAACTATGTAGTTTGTGAGACGGTTGAAGCAATTCATGCAAGACCTGTGGATGATTATGGTACTACGGTAGTTTATGCTAGTCAAGTAAGTGATTCAACTGCAGTAACATATTGCGGAGATGGTAACAATTTAAAACAAGCGAATGGTAGCAGTGGTTTAGACAAAAGCAGCAGAGACAAGGGAAGTACTACGGTAGTCTATGCAAATGAATCACGTGACATTGTGGGTACTACGGTGACTTATACTAATCAAGACAGTGAGCCCGATCCTCAGCCAATTATAGAAACTACCAAACCATCTCACACCAAGATTGTACCTCCCAATCACATCACAGAAGACGACAAGACTTCTACTTTAGAAAACTCAGACATTGATCTTACTAACTCTGTACCTATTTCGCAACAACCAAACAGCGAAAGCCAAAGCTTTATGGAAACTAGTTTTGATGCCACATTGTTAATATCTAGTCCAGTGACAAACGAGAGTTCCTCTGAGCTGCAAGAAAACATTCTTAACAATGATAAGATGCCTTCGTCATCTAGCCCTGAACCACTGACAAACGGGAACGCTCAAGAGATAAAAGAAGACACACTTGGCTTTGACGAAATATTTACAAACGCTAGCACCGATCCAGTAACAAACCAAAGTCCTCTTGAGGTGCAAGAAAACATAGTGAGCTTGGATAAATCACCTTCCTCATCTAGTCCTGTTCCCGAGCCAAAAGAGAGTCACCCTGAATCATGGCAAAAGTTGCCTCGTGGTGAAACTGATGTGGACAGTTTTAGTGACATTGATGAAATTGATATAGATATTCTTCCTGATGAGAACTACCAAAAATCAAAATCTGTGACAGATCTCGATGAGGCATTAGCGTCCTTTGGAGGCTTAGACTGTCTTTCAAATGATGATCAAGACAACATGACTGGTGGCCTTTCCAAATCTGTGCCTGATATTTTAGACAGTTGTCGCGAGGAATTCCTGAGAGAAACCGTAGAAAACCCCACCGAAACACTTCAAAAGAAGAAGCTGTCTTTATCTACTCCTGAAATCAATTCTAAACCAGGTTCTAAAAAAGTTACAAGGATTAAGATCGTTCATGTGAAATTCCTAGAAATGCAATCCGATTCTGAAAACGTGGATGAAGATTCCTTTATCTACGAAGGAGACTTTCCAATTTCTGGAAAAATGAAGCGAAAGAGTAGGAATTTATCTGATGAGTTCAGCAGTCCTGTAGCTAGCCCACCTCCTGATCTTAACAAAGAAATTGCTCAAGAACGTTGGATTGCAGAAAAAACGAACTTGAAGCAATTAGAATTTGAATTTGGGGATTTATTTGAAAATTCGCTATCACCACCGCCACCACCATTTGAAGAAAATGACATGAAGGGCGAGTCAACGAATGACGGACCGAATCAAGGTTCACAAAGTAACACAAATATACACGTAGATGCTACAAAGTTTCAAGATGCTTCGATGGTTTATTCCGTGCCGGATAACTTATCCTATGAAACATCTGGCCCAATTTCCCGCACAAGTAATAGTTTGAAGTCAACCTCGGAATCTCAGGATCCTACATTACCAAACTCTTCTACACAAAAGCCCTCATTAACTGACGTAAAGAACCACAGTTTTAGTACTGTTCATGCAAGTACAACTAGTATGACTAATAGTTCAAGGTTTGAAGTACAGAATCAAAGAACTGTATCAAGACAAAGTACGTCTTCCACAACAACATATTCTAAGACATCTGCTACGGCTTATTCAAGTACACGTATTGGTAGTGTCTCGAAATTAAAATCGGACATTGAAAAATCTAATGAAGATGTTATTTCTGTACTGCCCCTTGAAACACAAGTCACCTCTTCAATTGAAAAACTCCATCAAACGTCAAGTACAATTCGTTCAAGAACAATTATGAGCAGTGGCACTAAATCAAAGGTTGAATATAAAAATATTCAAAACAGTCCACCACTAACTTCCAGTACTTCTGAGGCTGTATCTCGGGCATCAGGGAATCAGGAAATTCCATCCCCAACTCCTGGTACTTTTGAGGCCGTCTCTCAGTCATCAACGAAAACAGACTCTGTGGCATTTAGATATACACCAGGAAATTCACATTCTTATAGCACCGTACCAAAGCCTGTTCCTGAACATGGAAAATACGTTATAAAATCTGGATTGATCGCCACACAATCCACATCAAAACAAACTAACACCAGAAATACAACTACCCAAGCGCGATATGCCGATAACTCTAATTCACCTAGACGCATTGCAAAGTATGTAGAAAGCCCTAATTCAGCTAGACATGTCACTACACAAGCTCGATATATCGATAGCCCTTCATCGAGTCCGTCCAGCAGCCCTCGACATGGGATAAAACTTTCTGAAAAGTTTCGTATGTCGGACGAAGGGAAACTAGCACAAAAACCAGGAGTACCCAGTGACCAGACTGATGGTCACATCTCAGTTACCAACCAGATTGATGGTCAGGTTGTACCTACCAACCGGACTGATGGTCAGAAAACCAGGAAGTCCCACCAGCGAGGATCGAGTAGTAAAGGACCGTCCCGGCAAGACGGTAGACTGGTTACTGTGAAAGGTGGGATCATTAGTGATTACGAGTGTAGCAGTGATGCTGATTCCGAGATGTCCTATAATGTCCCCTCACCTCGTATCAAGGCGAAGAAATTCCATCGACCACTAGTACATCGGGTCGACTCCGCTTCATCTTCGGAACCCGACAGCCCACGAAGACAGATGAAAGACGCTAGACGAAGTATGAGCGAGTTGTTTGGTGTTGATGAGGGATCTCAGTATTCAAGTGATACCAGCAAAGATGGTAGAGGTGTCGATGGTTTTGGGAAAGAGAAAGGAAGTCAGAACTCTTTACGAAACCAAAAGTTGTTCTCACGATTTGGAAACGTAGGACAAAGTGATGAAACGGTAAGAAGACAGAATGAAACCGTTGTGAACTCGAGCCCATCTCATGTTTATCAAGCTAAAACTACTATATTTGATCCAAGACCAATAGAGCCAGAGGCGAACATGGGACAGAATAAAGAAAGAGTAGCGAGTCAAAACATTGTAGAAAGAAACTCTAGTTCACTTAATCTTCCCCAAGCTAGAGTTGCAACATACGATCAAAGAGAGCAAGAAGATCGAATTCCCAATCCACGTTACAGCAATGCTTTAGAAAAAAACCCTAGCCCACCAAATGTCTACCAAGCGAGAGCTACCACATTTGACCAAAGACGAACAGATACCAAAACATATAACCCTCGCTACACGAATGCTTTGGAAAGAAACCTCAGCCCAACAAGTTTCCTACAAGAAGGAAACCTCGATGATCACACGTCCCCCAAGACTGTGGAATTTAATCCATTTGAAGACATAGAAGGCCGAGATGGTTTCCAACCGTTTGAGCGTTGTCATTCACCAAGCAGTGTATATAGCGACACGTCAAGCGTGTTTTCATTTAACTGTGATTTTGATCCGATGCCACCCCCGACGGGAACATATGAACCGGAAGTCTACACGTGCGAGAATCCGATGTGTAGGAAACAAGACATACTCCTAGGACCGGAGAAAACCAGTTTTAGGTCCTGTCCAGCCTGTTTTACGTTCTACTGCAGTAGCGAATGCAGAAAGCTTCACTGGCCTTCGCATAAACAGAGTTGCTACTTTGGACGAGTGAATACTTATGTACGAAGTATAATCCGCTTGTGCCAACGACGGGAAGATCTCAGTATGTATTTATCCCAACTCGCAAGAGATGGTTACAAAAAGAAAGGCCGTGGCGTTGTTATGGCAATATTCAACAGCCCAGAGTTGGCTAGAGAGTTTATAACGAAAGGTCATGACGCGTTCTCGGGCCGCAAACCTACTTACAGTTCACTAGCAGAACTTCACCGTGAAGGAATTATTTCAAAACACCGCGTTGCACTTATGCAAGCAGTGCGAGACTATGAGCCGAATCAGGAATTCGTGTTCAATATCGCCGTTGTAGCTACGAACAATATTCCAATCACACCAGCACCGCGTTACAAACTAAACACCGTCCTGCATTGTATCAAGATGCCTTTGAACGATCTGATTGTTGCAAGACAACCGAAAGACTATGACAAAGTGGAGACGCGTCTGTTCGCGCTACCCAAGTGCTCTAGACACGAATTTGTGAACGAGATGGAAGCGAGGCGACATTATTGTCGCAATTTGTCGAAAAATCTTCGACAGTATAATATCAAGCTGAAGGAAGATTACCCAGAATGCTACAGAAAACTGTGTCTGTATGTCGAGCATAATATTTCGTTTGAGCCCATGACTGTATACGGACAGCGGGGTGGAATAAACTATAAGTGTGTTCTAGCACCCGAGCAAACTTACCCGCTAAATGCAGAGTACTGTTAGAGGGGACTGGGGCTAAATGCAGTGTACTGTTAGAGGGCACTGAGCCTAAAGGCCGAGTACTGTTAGAGGGGACTGGGGTTAAATGCAGAACACTGTTAGAAGGGACTGGGGAAACTTTAGTAACTACGGTAAAATTGTAAAAATTCTCACAACCCGTTTTAGTATAGTGGCAATAATGCTAGACACAAAAACATTGCTGGTCAATCAATATCCGAAAAAAATGTATGCATTGACGTTTTAATAACAAATTGTACCTGTATATAGAGATTTTAAGAATTGATGCGTTTCAATTAGCACCTAATATATAATATGTATTAATTTACGTATATTCAAATTATAATATATACAACTTTAATTATTGCTACACGCACAAATGTGGAAATAGATGGAATAACATGCACTAAATACATTGAATTTATTATCAAACATTGTGTTCGAAGCATTCAATTATATTTTTCCTTTGAAGCGCGTAAAACAGGAATAGTGATATAGAACAGGTACCTTGTATTGGTCCGTCTTGCAAATTCAGACCCCCACATGCGCAATTTGTCTTGTTAGAAAAACCTCTTATCTAGGTTACAGAATTAAAACAAATTAAACTTTATGCTGGTTAGCTTTCCCAGCTCTAACTCTTCTGCTGTTACTACAGCAGGAAACAGAATACTAGGAGAAAACCCGCGATGTTTGGTACTGAGTCAAACTGGAAGTATATAATCTCACAAATGGCAATGCTATATTATATACATGGGACAACATTGTGTGCATTTTTAATGTGGGAAAATGAGAAAAATGCTATGCTTGACTAATGTTTGACGTATGCAGGTCGTGCAAGTAGGAACTAATGAAAACAAATTATGTGAATTGTAACCTAAAACCTTTTCTCATTCATCATTCATGATCGAAATTTAGCACTATCGTGCAGCAGATGGTGATCAACCTGCAGTTATGAGAATGAGAAAATCTTCATTCTTTTCATTAGATGGAATAATCTTGTATTTGGTGGTCAGTATAAATAGTATTGCGAGATGTAGTTTCCTACTGAAGTGCAGCACCATCTGATATACGATGAAACTTCAATATTACCAAAAGATTGCTGTCAGCCTGTCACTGTTTTCGAGTCAGTGGTTTTGCATGCCTGTTAGTGTCGTATATCAAGTCGCCAGTATGAACGATCCTAAGATGTGCCTTAATTTCAATGCTATTTATGTCTTTCTTCCAATTAAAAATTAACGGCATGGAATCCAATTTATCAGGCTATATCGTCAACATCTGCTGCTCTGACATATTAAGCCGGACAGACGGGGAAAAATCCGGAGAATCCGAGTTCAATATCCGTGTCTGAACAACAAAACAATTCCTCGTACGAAAACAACTTACAAAATTATTGCAGGAAAATGTTGAAACAATTTGGATCGTCTTTGGACCTCAAAAATAGCAATTGTTTTTATTTGATTTGTTTCAATAAGTGTATGATTAGGGCAGTAGGTCGTGCTTGAGAAATATTGATCAAAATTAAACTAAATTTCAATTCTACTGGCATCCAAACATGGATCGACTACACGTGAAGTATAATAAAAATAATTTTCTCACTCTGATAACGGCAGATCGGGAAAATCTGCAAACCAATCTTAACCTACACCTCCCATTTCAGCATCATCCTCAGAGATACGAAAAACTAGTTTCATTAGAATAATATGAAACTACACATCCCAGTTCGTGCATCGTAAGGTTTTCTTTTGCCAAGTATTTTACTAGTTCTGCTCCATTGGCCAGCAAACAAAGAAATACGTTACAATAAGTTTGGAAAGGAAACACTGCCGCTTGAAAGAGTTCTTTTCCTTGACGCGCTTCTAAATGTAGCTCAAAAACACACTATACATACACTACAATTATATGACATACAATTATTTAATATGACTATATACAAGTATCCATGTTTTACTATGTAGACTTCCTTATAAATATGTCAAACATACTCTAGGTTACAAATTACTGAGATACTATATCTTTATATTAGAAATATTATTTTAACAAATATTACACACCGTTTATGGGGCAACGTCATAGTGAGAAGAAATTGGCGACCTTTGGCTTCGCAAACCTTTATCAAAATGCAAAACTCCTATGGCGCAAATTAGTCTAGTATGTGCCACATCACTGAAATCTAATAGTTAAAACTTCTGCTATACATTTACACAGTCAGGGTGGGACAAGCTGCTCAAACTCGTTCTATAGATAAACCGTATATATATACCGTATAAATACCGCACAAATTGGGCATAATAATATACGTCACTGTGTTAGCCATGTTGTACTGTACAAATTATGCTATAAATTACAAAGTCAGTCTTCGATAAGCCTTACTCAAACTGCTTTCCTTTTGTCCATTGAGTGGAATAACAAACTGCTCAATCAATGAAGGGTCTTTATTTCGAGGTACTGCTGGTGAAGGCGGCATATTCCGTTGTGCTACTATCGCGACGTTTAACACAAACTCACAATCTGGTCTGTAATGATTAATTAAACGCAGTAAATTTTTCTGATGCTCAGTCCGTACTCCTAGTGTCTCTACTTGCTCCAGTGACGAGTATGTAGGTTTCTGACCAATTTTTTCATCAATAAACAACCTGGCATCGTTCGCACTTGCAAAAATAAGCATAACGCATCCACGGCCTTTCGTATAAAACCCTGCCGAGGACAGAGTGGATAACTGGCTCTGGACGTCTTCATTGCACTGACAGAGCTCCGCAATCGTTTTCATGTAACTTTTCATACGTCCATAATGACAGATCATTTTATGAACAGGCCAGTGAGCGACCCTGCATTTCGTGGAGCAATAGTGAGTAAAACAAGCTGGGCATGCTTTAAAGTTTATAGCAATCATCCCTAGTAGTTCCTCAGTGCGTTGACACTCCGGGTTTTCACATGTGAATAGTTTCTTCTCCATCAATCTAGGCGGCTTCGGCGGGCCGCTTGTTGGTGAGCCAGGGACGACTTCTAAGTCTGGACTGAGTGGAGTTATGCCACGAGATGCGTTTATTAACGAGCCTTCTAACGAAAGCCGTCTGGCAACGCTAAATGCTGAATTTTCATAAGCTGCTAATTCATTAACACCGAATCCCAACCACCGAGGGTCCGCATTGTCAAATCCGCCGCTTTTACGAGATTTCTTCTTCGTTTTGTTCCCAAACGTTAAATTCCTCTTAACTTTTCCCCGTCTGTTTTGAAAAGCGAAGTAGAAAGGCATCTTGCTTACAGAAGCCACGATCGCTCGTATTTTCACAGTTTTTACTTAGACGCAGGCTTCTGTGTACAAATTCTATCAAGCCAGAATAACTAATGAGGAAACTTTGCTCATTAAATGCGTAAAGATAGCGCAATTAAATTACCTGCCTTTTGATTGGTTACTTCAAGATGAAACGGTTGTCTCAGCCAATGAGATTGAAGCGCCAATACTCCTTAATGAAGGTTGAATGCACGCCAGACAATCTGCGGTCTGACAAGCTAAAGATCAACGTTGCGACCTTTGCTTTTGTTGACACCTGTCTGCTGGATACGATACAACACTCTCTCTGTATACTGATATATCACATACTATTCAAAGCTCTATTTCGTCAACTTAAAGTTGTTTCAAGCCTCATTTCACCCTCTATATTCAGTAGCCTACGTTTTACCGAGGAAAGCACAAATTCAAATCATATTTAAACCTGAGATATTGAGATTTAAAAACTACAGCGCGGACTACTTGACCACGGTTAAGTAAATAAACTTTCCTTTTCAAGATACACTATTTTAAACCACAAGGTCTAAATAAAACTGTTCATCCTTCAATTCAGAAGCATCATTTCGTTTTCTTGAATGGCGTTGAATTGTGGTGACTCGCACTTTATCAGTAAGAGGTGACCACTTGGTTATTTTGCCGTCAAGTGTGAAATGGTTATAATTTCCTTCCTAAATCATCAGCATGTCCTGACGCTCCTACCCTATGACGTAAACTCTTGTGCAAACCACTTTGAAACTATTGTGCCTCTCTGCTTCGAATATCCTTGCTTAGCTGCCAAATATTTGTACTATCATTTAAAAGCTTTGAATATTATTAAAAGCAGTCCAATTAATTCCCAACAGGGTACGAAGTTCTTCTCAATATGGACAGCTTATCTTGAATTTCTTAAAATCAACTTTGAAGTAGAAGCTTTTTTAGAATTTTGATATTGAGTGTTTTGTCAACTTTCTTATCTATATGTATATTGTAGGCTATGAAATATTTCTTGTTTCTATGGACAGTTAATTTTAGTCTGAGATCTATGCTGTGTATAATAGCACGACCATGGCGATTTTACACACGATCCGTGACTTGACGAACTTGGACAAATACCATCGGTCAACTAGATGAAATGTCTGAGTATTTTGTCTTTGAATGACTTTGTCATGACTGATGATCTCTGTGTATAAATACGATATTAGATGAAATATCAGGGGGATATTAGACACGATTTATATTCCCAGAACCTGCCGATTACCAGTATAGATCACGCTATTTTAGCCACGGAGTTTGTCTGGATAGTTTGTCTTTACACACTAGCTAAGAGTGATGATCTGTCAGATGAATAATAGTTTTCTATATGACAACTGTTAATTTATTGGATAAACATAAAGGAGGGAATAATTAAAGTTAATTTAAGATTGATTGTCTGTTTCAATTGTTGAGATGGGAACACAGCATGCAGTTGTATTATATCTTAGGTTATTTTTAAATTGTGTTTTGGATATTTTAGTTCATTTCCAGTCGCTATGGAGTTAAACTATTAAGCTTCCTTTATACCGGATATTTTTGTTAAAATGGCTAATAATAGAATCACTTTCCAAAAAAGGTTTTACTGAGGAAAAATATCATATGCACTACAAAAAACGACTTAAAGACGAGTATTTTTAACATATTTTTAGATGTTTTAAAATGATTATAAAAGACTGTTTTAAGTGTATGGTCATAGCATTTGAAACAGTTTTGACAGGAAAATTGAAATTGAAAAAGAGAACTGCAAGAGTCGAACTAATTGACGACGTTTATTACCGTGGATCAACTCAATGATACGGCGTTGATTTTCTTTGTGTATTAACGAGTTTAAACGTACATACCTTGTTTGCATCTGTAATCACCATTCTAACATAATACTAGCCTTTCACTTCTTTCCATATTTCAAACAACAACTCTTAACTCTGAAAAGAAAAACATGTATTACTCAATATACACTTGTTTCAGTGGAATTGATGAAAAACAGGTTGTTTAACGTGTTTGTCATCGAGGGATGAGATCAAAGTATTGCCTATTTCGACGTGAATATTTATAGTAACGAGCTATTTAAGTTAAGGTTTGAATCAGTTCAGTACCTCAGCGTGTGACTACAATCCTGGTCAAAAACCTTGCGTCACCGTGTAACATAAAATCATAAATCACATACTCCACCCCCCCCCCCCTCCCCCCAACGGGGAGAGAGAGGAGGGATAACCCACTCATATGGGAAGTTAGTTAACCGTTTCAAAACCACCTCACACTTGAAATGCGATTATATGACAAAATAAGACGAAAATTGTGAAGGGGAACAATTTTGTGAGAGGAGATCAAGTGAACTGCAGTATGTTCAGTATGAGTGTTAATATACATAAGTATTTTTAGGGGCGAACCATTAGAAAAGTGATAAGGGGGGGGGGGGAAGCAAACAAAAATCTTTGTACACCAAGAAAGTTTGAAAAAAAATTCGTGCAGAGACTATACTATAGGAAAATTATAAGTTGAAATAAAAAAATTCGTGCAGGGGATTATATTTAAAAAAATTATTGACACAAAGAAAAAAATTTCCAAATATTCATACAAGTTAAAGTCCCAAACTCCAACTCCCCTCCCCCCCCTGGCCACTTTTCTAATGGTCCACCCTTTAAGAAAGATTATAGAGAAGAGCAAATGATATTGTTACATGTACTTACATAATAGATATAATTATCTTTCAATGAGCATATTAATTTTACAAACATTGAGAAAGTTTCTATTGACTGGATTACCCAACTGTACACACATAAAAGTTGTTACGGATCTGCAAACAAGTTGCAACATGAAGGTTATTGTCAAGCAGATATCAGAATGTGTTCACGCTGTTTGTTCACAGTTGTTGTGACAAGTCTGGAACAAGTTGTTATCATCTTGTTACAAAGTTGATGCCGGCATGTTGTTCCAACAAGACCACACAATACAGGCTGTTTGTAACAAGTCGCTACAAGCTTGTCATCAACTTGTTAATAGTTTGTTACGTGCAGACGATATCAGACTTGTTGGAACAACTTGCTGTACGTCTGCTGGCCACATCAACCTTGTTACAAGATGATAACAATTTGTTCCAGACTTGTCAACAACTGGGAACAAGCACTGTGAACACATCTTGTTGACTTGTAATAAAATGTTCTGTTTACTTCTATAGCAGCTGTTGTGACCTGCAATACATGTTTGATAATTTGTGTTGTATGCAAAATAATATTTACTCATTAGGGTCTAATATTACAGATATATGTATTTGACAGTCTATAACATCTACCACTATGACATGGTCGTTTAAAGCTTAAATCAATACCACCTAGAGCACATGTGTGCCAAGCAGTACAAGGACAATATCACAATCAACAGTCAGACTACACTCATAAAACATTCAAAACAATATCCCAAAAACACAACCAACACGCTGAACATCATTAGCCGATACCGGAACACCTGGCCAGCCAGCCGGTTACAATCTGGACACTGGAGGACCCGGAATTTACACTTCACTTCTTCATGGTACTTCTTCTCTTGTCTTTTCACTTGCATGTGACATCCATCATTTGTACACGTGACCAAAGAATGATCACATTTTGCTATGTGACTCTTGAGCTCTCCCAAACGTACAATGGCATTGCACCCTGGATTCTCGCACGAAATTTCCAAATTATCCAAGCTATTTCGTATAAATCGCGATGGTTTCTTTATATTTTTGGTCGTGAGATAGTCCTGACACAATGGGCACGTACGAGATAGGTTTAAATGGCCAAGAATGCACTGCTCACAAAAATGGTGCTCGTTTTCTTTACATTGTTTTGGCTCTTTTAACACATTTCGACAAATAGGGCAATGCAGATCTTCTGGTACTGTCGAGTTAAAACGCTCGTCGAAATATCCTTCGAAATTCATCTGTTTTTAACTCATTCCAACGAGCAAAAGATCAAGAAGTTATATAAATATTTACAAATACAAATACTTTCGACTTCGAAATAAAATCAATATGTCGCGCACTTCCGCCCATCCACTTCCGCCTACATTATTTTTTCAAAAGTTTATGGCGTTTTAGCCAATAAGAATGAGGTAAATAATTCTGAATGCAGCCAATCAGGCTTTACGGTTTTTATGGCTGGAAAATACTGCATGATTCAGAAATATTAACAAGATTCTCTTAATTATGTTTATTTGCCGCCCAATACAGAACTACTACATATATTGACATTATTTCTTAACTCTGATAACTGCAGGTTAAACATCGTCTGCTGCACGATAGCCAACCTGCATTTATAGCAACACTAATTAGCCATTTTCACGTGGGCCAATATCCACCTTTTTAAGGTCAGTGTTTCCCTAGGCCTTTCCTAGGTCAGAGAAATTATCATGAGAAGACAGTACCCCAAAAAGAGCCGGAATGTAGATAATCTATAAAACACCGTGAATAATTGTAATTGTAAATTTACCATCATATAGAATTATACCCAACTACGGTTAGAGAAAGTCGCATTTCGCGTTGCGCACGCTCTCTGACTTGGCAGAGACGGACTGTCACCCAAAATGGCGGACAAACCCAGCGGGAGAAATGCTAATTAGCATCATTAAATATATTCGCTTGTGGATTCCCCACAATGAGGAATAATCAACACCTCTCAGTTAAAACATTTGATATAAATTGCTTTCAAAAGCAATCCAAAATCATTCATGCTTATCAGGGATAACACACGATGTACCTTGAAGCGAATTGAAGGCAATTAAACAGCGTTTTTCACGAGAATAAGCCGGGTTTCGCTAAGCCTATTGTTGGTGGACACGATTTGCCCAGAGGAGTATTTTTGGTGGAGAAATTGGGTAAAACTAGTCAAGGTATGGTTTTAATGAGATACACAGTTTGAGTTTTATATTTTTTGGCTTTGTTCTGGCAGATATGGTTGTTTCGCCATATGTTTCAATCTATTTATGTATATATTGCTCAGATATAGGTGTTTGTATTATAGCGTTGTCTGTGAGCTTAAATACAGTTTAAAGTTATTTTCTGTTGCATACGGTATTGTTAAAGAGATTGAATTATAGTCTTATAATTTGCCACGTTCACCGAACACTGCATGATAGAATATTGCGAGATGCGCTGAACACAGCCTGGAATAGCTTGCATACAATAAATAAACACTAGCTGTAGGGTTATAGTCAGGTTATGGGTTATACCAATACCTAGTTTTAGGTTTACCGGTATCAAAAATAAATTACGTGTAGTTGGGAATGTGTGGCCGGGTTGTACATACATCAATACTCCTCACGACATGCTGGCACAATGAAATGTATTACTGACAAAGCAATATGGGATTTAAATGGCATAAAAGAGATAACATAAATATTTATTAGTGTTGTTGATAAATTAATATACTAAAGTCTTTCTTGGTTGAGCAGATTCTATATTCGAGTTTACACTCAGTTCATTACTTGTCTATAAGCCGGGAGACCCCTCGCTGGGTAAGAATGAAACGCAATTGAAATAAACGAATATTCCAGCACGGATCAATCTTAAACTATGGAGGTGCTGAAACTACCTGTAGAAGATTAGCTTCGGTGTTTCACAGTTAAAACTTGCCTTGTATAAGTTCTTTGTGTTCCATGTGGGCTGTTATGCTTCCAGAATGTTAAATGCCATAGTCATTGCTTTCAAAGCTGTGTATTTGGGTTAGAATACAAACTTTTATTTGAGATTTGTCGAGTCGGTGAGTGCTTTGCCACTTTCTGAAGGGAGCATGCCGCTTTCTGCTCGAGTCCCGATGTGTCTTACAAATATTTGAAAATAACTGCATGATTTGAATAAATATAGAAATATGTCACGACACTTTTTGTTATGTATTCCCAAAGGAGTAAGAGGTTGTACAGTAGGATTAAAGAATACGAGAGAGTCGCTTTTAATGAAATAAAGCTCGGCTGAAATGGCAAGGACGAGATAGTTGGCAGTCACGCTATCTTGGTTCGCTGTTCTTAAATCTTAATGCTTTCCCAACACTATCATATATTTTATTTAAATTGAAACATAGTTGGAACATACATCAAACCATTATTTTGTTAATCAAGAACTTGAAATGTCCCCTGTAACAATACGTGACTGGCAACTCTTATCAACAAATCTCGTCAGTTGACCGGAGCCTTAATTAATCTGAGCTACCTGAAAAAATTATTTTCTTGGTACTTCAGACACAAACCACGGTTGTTTAAAAAGCTTTGTGTTGCGAGGGGCAAAACAATAGTCAATATACTAAACTGTTTCTACAATACAAATTAAGACATGATAGGTAATTAACGACTGATTTTATTATAACAACAACTTCCTAATGTAAAATTCTATTTATTAGCAACCCAGGAAATTATATAAAGTATATACAACCAATATTGGAGTACATTTAACTCTTGTTCTAAATTGGCAGTTTCAAAGAATGAGTAATTGCAAGTAAATAAATGATATTGAGTGGGACAACACAGATGATCATCATGAGTGACTAAATTGTCAGTTCACTATGGTGACGTTTATACTGTATACCGGATAGCTTCAAGGAGCACCTATCCGATACGGAATGTACAACTTTCAACAGCCTATATATGCATAATGACTTGTGTTTAGCGTACATGTAATGGGAATATTTAGCATGCATTTGCTCGCTGTCGTAGCTAAGTGTGAATACGTTGACTAGTTGACCAGCATGTATGGTACATACAGGGGCGAAACTAGCCCCTTTTAATTCGGGGGGGGGGTGTCCAGAATTGCCCTGCCAAAACCGATGATGCCCTGCAGCAAATTTTTGTATTTCTGGACATAAACCAGTTAAATTTACGGTCAAAAATTTTTCCCGTACAAATCGCTGTTAAAACATGGGTGAACCCCTTATTTTTGGACCAATATCTGTAAAATTTAGGAGTCTATAAACTGCATTCAATTCCGCCCCTGAAAGCCCTGTAAGTTACTTAATAACTTTTACATTCAATCTTCGATTGCCCTGCCAATCCAGATGATTCGCCCTGCCAATCCAGATGATTCGTATTTTTTTTTGGGGGGGGGGTGTTCACCACCGGGGGTGTTCACCCCCGGGGGGTTTCCCCTGGGTACATATAACTGGATTCAGCAAGTGTGACCACAGGGGTTGTCAACTCTAAAACGAAAGACAGTTTAATATTAAAGTGATGGATAAATATCAAGAATTCAGGGCATTTCACTCGACAGAACTAAAGTAGTTTTCTAAAACCCCTTCAATTTTGAACGCAAGAGTGGCTAAATTGTTGACCTTGCCTGTCAGGTGAAATATTTCGCATTATATGGTGGTTCCATAGTTCCCAGAAGTGGTCGGTGGGAATACATTTAAACCTGGCCAGCAACTACAGCGCAATTCCACGACTAAAAGTCACGACCAGACTATTATCTCTAGCCGAGAACTGACGAAACTTCGTGAAAATTTCGTTTCAGCGCGTGGAGGAAGTTTTTCTAGACTGATTCACTTCAAACTGTTATGGAAACCAAACTCATTAATTACAAACAAAGAAATAAAGAAATATTTTTGTTTTATTGCCGGCAACCTACACATGGGATTCTGCTGAGTTGCTAGGAGTATGAAAGATGTTTTGTTCTCATGAAGCACGCCAAAATATGCATATATCATCGCGCTTATGAGACACCACCAAAATACGCGGATTCTCATACGCACTACACTAAAACAAGCATATATGCCCGTGCTTATGGGACACCAAAATACGGGATTCTCATCAAATAAGACACCAAAATACGAGATTCTCATAAGCACGCTAAAACAAGCATATATGATCGTGCTTATGAGACACCATGCAAAATACTCTCATAAGCACGCTAAAACATGCATATATGATCGTGCTTATGAGACACCAAAATACGAGGTTCTCATAAGCACCGCTAAAACATGCATATATGATAAATCAATACATAGTCATACGTAGTCATATATAAAACTTTAATTTTTTCAAACTTTTTATTCTAAGTTTAAAGAATCAATTTTTTTTCAATGCAACTCAAACAAAATGTGAGAAGCCATTTATAAAACAATTAATTGAACTAAAAGATAATATTATCTTTCACGTCTTTTTCCATTACACAGCTGGAAAAACCTACTTTTTATCTGCATGTACGGCCTAATGATGCAAGACTAAGGCGTCGACAGAAAGCTAATGGATTGTAGATTCTAAAAATATAATTTTCAAACCAGCCCAAATTCGAGTTTCTGCTACAGAAGCCTTCAAATTCAATAGAATATAAGGTTCGAAACACCTAGCATAATATTAACTTTCACGTCTTTTTCGATTAGGAAGCGGTCATTATTTATGGTGGGGGGTGGCACCGAAGAGAAATGTTTTTAGTGCTAAAAATTTTGCTGACCCAACCATTAAAAAGTAAACTATTTGATTACCCAACCTCAAATATCAATTAAAAAAGAAATACCCACCCCTGGTCAAAAACATTACAAAAAGATACCATTCAGTTGTCACACAAGTCCCTTTCCACTTCTGTGACATAGTTTGATAACGGATTGTGAAATTTTCCGCAGTCTAAAATGTCACGTTGTCTGCACATGTACTTTCTTTGGAAGTTTTGGAGACACCATTTGTCTCCGAATAAATCTGGTTGATTCACATATTGTATTGACATATGACTGTTGACATTGCTTTTTAGTCTCCAATATTTCAGTGAGTTATGCTTTGGATATGACAATAAATTTTTATTACCCAACCCTTGAGTTGTTTTGTTTTTCATTTACCCAACCTTTTACTCACTCAAAATTTTGTTTACCCAACCATTTTCTCTTCGGTGCCACCCCCCACCGTAAATAATGACCGCTCCCTTACACATGCAGCTGGTAAAACTTGCTTTTTATGTCCACAGTCGTCTAGTGATGCGCGAATAAAGCATCGACAGAAAGTCTATGGAACGTAGATTCCAAAAATTGAATTTTCAGACCGTGACAAATTAAAGTTTCTGCTACAGGGGCCTTGAAATTCAATAGAACATAAGGTTCGAAATAGCATAATATTAACTTGCACGTCTTTTTCGATTATGCACCTGGAAAAACCTGCTTTTTATCTGCACGTACGGCCTAGTGATGGAAGAGTAAGGCATCCACAGAAAGCTAATGGATTGTAGATTCTAAAAATATAATTTTCAAACCAGCCCAAATTCGAGTTTATGCTACAGAAGCCTTCAAATTCAATAGAATATAAGGTTCGAAACACTAGCATAATATTAACTTTCACCTCTTTTTCGATTACACATGCAGCTGGTAAAACTTGCTTTTTATGTCCACAGTCGTCTAGTGATGCACGAGTAAGGTATCAACGGAAAGCATCTGGAACGTAGATTTTAAAAATAAAATATTTAGACCGTCACAAATTCAAGTTTCTCCTACACGGGCCTAGAAATTCAATAGAACATAAGGTTCGAAACAGCATAATATTAACTTGCACGTCTTTTTCGATTATGCACCTGGAAAAACCTGCATTTTATCTGCACGTACGGCTTGGTGATGCAAGACTATGGCATCAACAGAAAGCCAATGGATATTAGAGTCTAGAAATATAATTTTCAAACCAGCCCAAATTCGAGTTTATGCTACAGAAGCCTTCAAATTCAATAGAATATAAGGTTCGAAACACCTAGCATATAATATTAACTTTCACGTCTTTTTCGATTACACATGCAGCTGGTAAAACTTGCTTTTTATGTCCACAGTCGTCTAGTGATGCACGAATAAGGCATTGACAGAAAGTCTATGGACCGTAGATTCCAAAAATTGAATTTCAGACCGTGACAAATTCAAGTTTCTGCTACAGGGACCTTGAAATTCAATAGAACACAAGGTTCGAAACAGCATAATATTAACTTGCACGTCTTTTTCGATTATGCACCTGGAAAAACCTGCTGATAAGACACGAAAATACGGGATTCTCATAAGCACGCTAAAACAAGCATAATTATATGAACATGCTTATGAGACACCAAAATACGGGATTCTCGTAGTATAATTTAACATATATTTAATAATGAAGATTACCGTTTGGAAACTCTGCCAGAGGCAAAGTTTTTGTTCGATACTTTTGTTCTACGGTATAGTTCAACGGTGCTGTTATCTATGTTAAGTCGTCTTTACAAAAAATTTCGCTGCCGAAATATTTTGCTCATTTTTTAAATTGTGAGTGTCAAGTAGAACTGACTTAAGTATAAATCAAGCGTAATCCCCTACTTTATGAGTTTAGTGTGAGAAATCATTATTCTCCAATTCATCAATTGCGATTGCTAATATAGGTAATTAAGTAAAAACTTTGTATATTTTTTCCAGATGAAGGACGAAGTATTACTGGCAGCCATCTTGCTGGCTGCAGCTGTGTTGTTGCTCATCCTGACAATCATTATGCTCTGCATCGTATTCAAGTTCGTCAAAACCAAATCCAGCGTTGAAAAGAAATCGTCAGAGATCCCTAAGACCTCCCACAACTATGATAACTCCGCCTTTCAACGCACCAGCGACATAGGTGCACATGGAAACGAACAGACCAATAATAGGCAAGTCAGTTACTATGGCAATGACAGTGACCAACACAAATCAGAATGGCCCACATCGTATAACATGTATGCAGTGTCGAGGAGCTATGCATTTCCCAAGGCTGGCGATCAGTCAGAGCAGAGTTCTGAGCTGGGATCCAGAGCACATCCATCCAATCCCCCATCTACCATTGCAAGCCGTTCTAGTACTATCGACACTCGCGAGGTTTGTTTCAACTTACTTTATTTATACTGAATTGCTCTATAAGTTCTGAACTGTTCTTCCTAGAGGTCCAGTAGAAGTCATCTCTTGTTCATCCAGTGTTACTCAGGAAGCCGGATCATCTCTTATTGATCCAGTGTTACTAAGAAGAAACCTAAACTAAACTAACATTATTTATACTGGATAGCTCTATCAGTTCTAAACAGATCTTCCTAGAGGTCCAGTAAGGATCATGTCTTATTGATCCAGTGTTACTACAGGAGGAAACCTAAACTAAACTAACTTTATTTATACTGGATAGCTCTATCAGTTCTAAACTGTTCTTCCTAGAGGTCCAGTAAGGATCATCTCTTATTGATCCAGTGTTACTACAGGAGGAAACCTAAACTAAACTAACTTTATTTATACTGGATGGCTCTATCAGTTCTAAACTGTTCTTTCTAGAGGTCCAGTAAGGATCATCTCTTATTGATCCAGTGTTACTACAGGAGGAAACCTAAACTAAACTAACTTTATTTATACTGGATAGCTCTATCAGTTCTAAACTGTTCTTCCTAGAGGTCCAGTAAGGATCATCTCTTATTGATCCAGTGTTATTACAGGAGGAAACCTAAACTAAACTAACTTTATTTATACTGAATAGCTCTATCAGTTCTAAACTGTTCTTCCTAGAGGTCCAGTAAGGATCATCTCTTATTGATCCAGTGTTACTACAGGAGGAAACCTAAACTAACTTTATTTATACTGGATAGCTCTATCAGTTCTAAACTGTTCTTCCTAGAGGTTCAGTAAGGATCATCTCTTATTGATCCGGTGTTACTACAGGAGGAAACCTAAACTAAACTAACTTTATTTATACTGGATAGCTCTATCTGTTCTAAAC